CTTGAAAAGAAATGAATAAGAAAATATACACTAATTGGCTCAAAAATACCTTGACAATTAAAAGAAAATTTTCAATTACTCCTTCCGAGTCTAAAGGCAAAACGCTCAAATCACCCCCTGACAAATATGGGTAGGGACGGATTCACCCCTAAAAAAAAAAGCAAGGACAATTGACACTCCAAAAGTATCGATCTTCCCAAATCGATCATTATCTAACGGGTGACGTCATCACCGTCACGATCTCCGTTTAGCCCGTGCCAACGTGTCGTTTTTTTACACGCTGGATGCTGATGTGTGCCAATTCCGTTTAGCCCGATATTTGATGACCAACTTGTTTGCCCTAGTTCAGAGTTTTCAAAGTTGGGGGTTAGGGTTCTCTTCAATTCAAAACCACAAAACCTTCAAAACCACAAAACCACAAGGCTTTCTCTCATTTCTGCAATTCCTTCTTGAAATTAGTCGAGGGGAAAAGATTGTGGGTGTTTGTGAATCTATTCGCATGGAATCTTCCTCTAATTCTGGAGTTGGACCTGGTCGAGCCTCTGCTGGTGTAAGTGATGGTGCAATGGTAAATCTATTCCTTTCCTTGAGTTTTCCATTTTAAAAACAAAAAAATTACGTAGAAATTCAAAAAAGATTGAAATTTTAGCATTCCCATTTGTTTTCTTATATTTTCCTACGTTTTCTCAGGAACCAAACGAACATTCATTACAAAATTACCTAAACCCTTGACCCATAATCAAATGCGTAGATCCAAGAAAGTTTGATCTAAAAAAAATTACCTCTGCATTCCTAGCTGAATGAGTTCATCAATGGCCGAGTCCAAGGCTACGCGATCCTCCTTCTTGGCCAACAACTTAACCTCTTGAACCACCTGAACACGCCATCCGCTCCTCAGATCCGGTGAGTACATATGCCTAATTACCTTGTTTATCGACTCTCTCTCATCCTCGATAGCAGATCCAAGGTCTTCCACGAACCGCTTCACAGCCCGCCTCCGGAGCTCCCGCACGTCAATCTCACACGCCATAGTCCTCTGCGACGCGGTGAACAGGCAGTTCCCATCCGGTGAAACCTCACCTCCATGCGACAGCCGGAACACGACTGCGGAGCTGTGATCCCCGGGCTGCTTCCAGAGAACTCTCTTGGCATGGAGCTTCTATAGGTGCCGTCTTTGCTGGTCCTCGAGCCCAACCACATTGTCCCACGTTGCCGCCGCGATAGTTGTTACCTCTGTCTGGTCAACGAGATCCACGGCCTCTAAATCCGGTGATTGTGGGTCCCTCCTTGACACGATCGGTGATGAAGTTTGAAAAGTCTTCGCAATGGTTGTTGAATCACAAAGTAATTTCCCTATTTTTTTCCCCAAGAGCGGAATTAGTACACATCAACATCCAGCGTGTAAAAAAATGACACGCTGGCACGGGTTAAATGGAGATCGTGACGATGATGACGTCACCTGTTAGATAATGATCGATTTGGGAAGATCGATACTTTTGGGGTGTCATTTGTCCCTGCTTTTTTTTGAGGGGTGGATCCGTCCTTACCCATATTTGTCATGGGGTGATTTGAGGGTTCTGCAGAGTCTAAAATAATTGTGCTTTTTATTTTAAATTTATTTGAAATTAATTGTTATTTTTTTATTTTCTAAGATAAATAATTATTTTTTTCATATTTTAACCCTATCTTTATATATTTATTTTATCACTAAAAATTTAATTTAATTTTTTATTTTTTTTAAAAGGATAATATAAATAACCATATAACTAGTCATAAATCCTTAATTTAAAAAAAAAATTGAACAGACAGAGTGGATGTTAATGTTACATATATATATATATTAAGGTTGACAATGACACAAGAATACTGTCTGAATTATGATGATAATGGGGAATATTTTTGTCGGCGGATGAAGAGAGGGGAAGAAAATATTTAGAGCAAGCTGGTTACGTAGTGTTCACTGAAAACAATGTAGTACGTATGTACTAATTATCATATAATAGTGATAGTCGTTAACTCCAAAGGAGAAATTTAAGGAATTAAATCTGCCTAAAAGTCAAGGTCTTCAGTTAGTACATTCCAAGTCGTAAAAATAAAAGTTCTGAATTCAAAACCTTAGGTAAGAAATAAGAAGTATATACGATGAACATGTGACGTTTGAAATAAATACCCCAAACAGACTGGCATCGGGTGCTCTTAATAATAAAAAAATTATT